TGTTGTTGCCGTTGTTGTTGTTGTTGTTGTTGTTGTTGTTGTTGTTGTTGTTGTTGTTGTTGTTGTTGTTGTTGTTGTTGTTGTTGTTGTTGTTGTTGTTGTTGTTGTTGTTGTTGTTGTTGTTGTTGTTAATGATGATGGTGGTGATAGTGATGATGATGGTAATGATGATGATGATGACGCAGACATGTGATGATGACAAATATTCAAACTCTGTTTATCGTAGGTAATTACTAAACCATTTATCCGGGTATACAATCAATAAACTCAATTAATTTGCTACCACCTCTAGGTTGGTATTCAATCTGTTACCTACAGGGATGGTCGGAATAATGATGGCAGTAATGTTAGCGGCAGTAATGTCATCACTATCCTCAGTGTACAACAGTGCTAGTACAATATTTACTATAGATATATGGCAAAGAATACGACTAAGGGTAAATATACAATTCATTTGGTGCACCAAGAATGACCTCGCGCGAATGCAGTGAATTCACAACATTGGATAATTCTCATCCGTAGTTACTTCCGCCAGGAGATTATGTTTTTATCTGTGTTGGCATGTGTGTTTGTGTGTGTGTTGGTCCGTATAAAGATAAAGGCCCACACAGACCGGACGCGATTCGGCAACGCGACCCGAATTTTTAGTTTTCAAAAACAAATAAAACCATCAATGGATACAAATTTTACAAGATATGCAGACCAAATAGCTAAAATTGCTGAAGAGGTTCCGAATATTTGAAAAACATAGAAAAGTTAGTTAAATCATGTCATTGAAAATTGAAAATTCGCGTCGCGTTGCCTAATCGCGTCCAGTCTGTATGGACTTTAACCTAAAAAATATCAAACGTATTAATACGAAAATTTGTGGGACTAATGAACATTGCCCAAGAACAAATTGATTAAATTTTGGTTAAATTTGGATGAAAATTTGATGAGAAATTAGTACAAGTTTGTCTTGCTTTGCTGGGCAGAGTAAAGTGAATTAAGATAATTTGTATGATTCATCAAGTTCATTCTTTAGGCAAGTGACAGAGAAAAACTTATGGTTGGCCGAGCTATTGTCGCTGTTCTTGTGGTCCTGGGTCTCGTCTGGATGCCTTTGATTGAAAGTGAGAAAATATATATTGTTGTAAATCCCTTATTCGCAGAAGTCCATTTGCAAAAAAACCCTGAAAATCAGCTCAAGTCACCGAGACATTTGTCTGAAAATACTCTTGAGCAAACATTGGGGGGAGGGGTACATCCCCTTCACCCCCGGTCGCTACGGCCCTGAATGCATACCTTGCGAGAAAAAAAACGACATATCGAATCGAACGTCATATTCCGTATCTACTGTGCCCACCAATAACATAGACATATCTGCTTATATTTGTCAAGGGGGAGGCAGCGGAAAGCTATTTCGTTACATTCAAACAATCCAGTTTCTTCTTGGTTCTCCTATCATGGCCATATTCATCGTGGGATTGGTCTGGCCACGAGCCAATCAGCCTGGCGCTCTGGGAGGCTTTCTGATTGGCTTATTATTAGCAGCAGCGAGATTTGCTACGGAATATATCTATGCCAGTCCTGCATGTGGCGAGCTCGACACACGACCTGCTTTTGCTTCTATACACTATATGTACTTTGGTAAGTGTAAAAATATATACGATTTGAGGTTTGCCGTTAGCCATAGAAACGCGTCGTGCTATCAAACCTTTAGAAATGTTGTTTGTGATATTACTCTGAGTGTGCATCCACACCGGGCATTTCAGTTTGCCTGACCACGGTGGGAATCGAACCTGCAACTTTTGGGATACTAGTCCAATGCTCTACCAACTGAGCTACGAGGTCAAGTCGGTTCGAGTTGGTGATATTTCGGAACAGAGACTAGTTCCTTCGACACCAATGTATTCTAAGAACTCAGGTAGATTCGATTCCCACCGTGGTCAGGCAAACTTTTCAGCTTGCCCGGTGTAGATGCACACTCAGAGGAACATCAAAAAATAATTAATATCATATTCACCTGAGTACATAATACCAACACACACAGAATTGAAATCATCATACTTTAGAAATGTATTGTAGATGCAGGTATATTAGCATGCATAGCATGACCAGTTCCCATGCATGGTTAGCTTCGCCAATCGTAAGGTATCTAATAACGAAGGCTTTATTTTCTTCTCTAGGAATCATTCTGTTTGTTGTGACTGTGACAACCATCATCATATTAAGTCTCCTAACTAAACCGATCCCAAGAGAAGAACTGGATGGCTTAACATGGGTCACGTTAAAGAATAAGACTGCACTGGAAACTAAATATCAGCAAGGAATGAGTGATGTCTTCTCTTCTGACAAAGGTAAAAAAACATCAAAATATCTACTAGCACATTTTGCCTTTCTTTATTTTGCTTCACACAGTAGGCACAGCATCAAAGAAATTTCTCAAACATTAGTTTTGTGTTTACCATCGTTCTTCATTCCATTTCCCCCTATTTTTTTCGTGAATTTTCCACATTTTAGCTATCATTCTTAATTTTTAATCGGTATCACTCAAATATATTTTTTTCTTCCTATCCAAATCTATATTTTTCTTACTAGGGTTCAATATTTTGCCGACTACCTGATGACTGGGGGAATGTTACACCAATCACACACCCTTTTACAACCGCCCCTGAATTTCGGTGCAAAATTTGATGCTTACATATGCATTGAGCTATCTTTTTATTAAGTTTGCCCGTGCAAAGAGGATTAATGCTGGGTTACCCAGAAAATTTTAATCGGAGTGTTAATTTTTTGAGGCTTCATATGAACTTGTGACATTCTGTTATGGTGAAATTTGTTTTTCAGATGTTGAGTTAAAGAAGTACAAAGAATCAACGGAAAATACATTGGATGCAGACTTCACTGAGACATCAACTACAGCTCGTGATGTATTATTTGAAAGTCGTAAAGAGAAGTTATTACTGAATATATCTTCAGTGATTTTGCTGTTGGTTCTGCTTTTCTTATGGGTATGGTACCGGTGAACATCTGTGCTTCTTATATGCACTGACAGTGGCGTACCAAACGATCCATTTTCATACATTTTAGATTATGTAAATAGCTTACACTTGCATTTTATAGCTTTTAATTACGACCTTTACTGACCTTCACTGACTAGCAGGTAATAACAGGAATTGCACCATGTGTACCACAGGCGCCCCAGACGTGTATTACAGTAGTATATAGTAAAATTTGTAATGAATTTTATATTTTAAAATTATATTTACTTTCCTAATTTGATTGTATGTGATCGTCTTCAGCCATCTTCCCTTCGATAGGCTATGGTCGGAGGTATTTCTAAACCTCGCTATATATGACGTGGAGGGAAGAGGTCAGATCTTCTGCAAGTTTTATGCTTTAGAATTGAAGGAATTAAGAAAGCTGGCTTGAAACCATGCAAACAAAGATTTCAAAACTACGCGTTGCAGAGAAAATCTATGTGAAAAATTTCGACATTTTATAAATAACGACGGCAGCATATAATGGTGAAATATTTACAAGGCAATCAGAGGTGTTTGGAAGTCATCTCCGTTCTTCAGAACGCACAAGGTCATTGGCAGTTCATTGCTCTTCGTCCACGATTCCGAAGGGAATGTGAATGTGTGGATGATAGACTTTGCTAAAACAATGAAAGTTGAAGATGGCATCCAGCTTACCCATCGCGCCACGTGGCAAGAAGGCAATCACGAGGATGACTATCTCTTTGGATTTGATAATATACACGACAATAACCAATAATCAATACCAATAACCAACACTACACTTTTTAGCCTATGTGACGTTCTAATGTGGGATTAGGTGTTCCCATGCATTACGATGCAATTTTATGTCCTGTATCACGTTTAATGATACAAATAATGTTTTATATATTTTAACACAGGACAAATACGGACATTACACACAGAATACATAACATTTTGCGACACAATGTCAACAGATGACCTTTTTCATTACAAACCAGATGTGTTCAGTGATCAATTGTTATATACGTAGCGAGGATGAGAGTTGATATATATGCACTGCAGCAGGGCACATATTTTAAGTTCTAGATTAAAAAATAATTAAAAGGTGTTATGAGTGTTTCAACTGCGTTTCAACTTTAAAATACATGATAGAGTTGTGAAAGCAGTGAACTGGCAACTCTCATACACTCTCAGGTCTCTCAGTCCTCGTTTGATCTGTGCTTGTATAACATGATATCAAATGTCTTGAACTGTATTCATTCAATTACATGCAGAGTTCTATTATTGTATTGAACAGTGGTCACCTACGGTTGCCGCGAGGTATATTGAATAAACACATTTTCCACGTTTATGAAACCCACCTCCGGAGAGAGCAAGACAGAATATATACACTAACAGGTAAGGATTTGCTACGAAAATCATGTTTAACATTCATATATATGTATATATAGCCTATATATATATATATCTATATTGAAACGTGTATCATTCTTGCAACTTGCTTTTGTGCTCCGCTACACGAGTGAAATTTGATCCATCGCCCGATACGTTCGCTTTTAAAACTACGAAAATTTTATTCGAGACGAGAATGGTTTCATTTATTGATCATATAAGTTTTGCCTGGACTGGTGATTTTGATTCATTGAAGTTGTTAATCGCTGATGATCTGAAACTAGACGGCACTTGGGAACATCCCGGCGGCGACAAAAAGGTGTTTAAGTTTAATGACAGTTTGATCTCGTGGAGAAAAGGCAAAGGTCTCTTGCAGATTGAAGGCGACGAAATGGGTAAAGTGTATCAACATTTATGTAAAAAGATTTTGAATAGTCTACATTCAAGTGTTAAAAATGTAGTTAGCTCGGACATGTTATGCCAGACGAATGTAGATACCCCGCGGCAGTCGTTCTGTCCATGTGCTGATGTTGTTTTCGACTTTGAGGAACTAAAATCGGGTCAAGAAATCAACAGAGAAATTATACAAACTTTGTCTCAAACTGTTGAACAATTAGTTGAGTTTATGGGCCAGAGTAAAGGTGAAAAATCAGTTGAAAATGGGGGAAAGTTAGTTAAAAATCGAAATGGCAAACCTGCCACTGATATGCATATTTTAACTCACGCCCAAACAAAAGAAATTAATGAAACGACTAATCCCAACGCCCCCGACATTAGTATAATCGAGATATCTGATCAAAACAACGTTGGCGCGGCAAATCTAAATAACGCTGGAACCGATAATGTTTCAGAAGAAATTGCGGGTAGGAACGAAATACCCGCACCATACCAAGATAGGTTCCCCCGACACACAAAAAACCCTAAATCTCACGTTCCATGTCCCTTCTTACGCAGAAAGGGTCATTGCCTGAAGGGTTTGAAATGTGATTTCTCCCACGCTAAACCACAACAGTCCTTTCAACCATACCAACAACAATTTTTTCCACCCCCGTTTTACGGACAAACTCCGTATCATTTTCAAAGTCACCTAAATACTATGAGACACCCTTTTTTTTATCCCCATGTAAATTACCCTTATATGCCTCCCCTGATGGACAACCCAACAAGACCACCCAGTCATTATTAAACGAATCTGTTGAATTTCCAAATAACTGTACACTGCCATGTAAGCCCCTTACTACAGAACTCCATCAACTTAATACCACTACATTAAAACAGAGGATTAGTAATTTTATTCCAAAATTAATGGTGACTAATGTGAGATCTTTGGCCCCTAAAATAGACGAAGTCCGCGAATTCATGATGGAAAATGAGATAAACTTATCCTTTCTAACTGAAACTTGGCTCAATGACTCAATTACAGATAGCGTTGTAAGTATACCTGGGTTTACAATCATACGCAAAGATAGATCTATAAACAACCATGGCGGAATCTGTATTTATATCAGAGACGGTGATACGAAACTCAAAATCCTTTCAGAAATTTCATGTTGTTCCGAACACGAAATCTTATGGCTTCATTTAAAACCTAGACGACTTCCTCGTGAATTTTCCTCAATCATAGTTGCCGTCCTATACCACCCCCCCCAGTGCCGACGATTTCAGCATGCAGAGTCACTTATTTCAGACACTGAGCGAAGTCGAAGCAAAATTTTACAACTGCGGTATTATCATTGCTGGGGATTTCAATCGTCTTAATGTGAATCATATAATTAAGCATTTTCGGTTGAAACAAATAGTTAAATCACCAACTCGAGGCGAAGCAATACTTGATCTTATATTAACTAATATGCACGAGTTCTACAAGTCTCCGCAAATACTCCCTCCAATTGGATTATCTGATCACAACACAGTTGTAGTTTCACCCACTCACATTGTGAAGAAAGCAAAATCTACATTTGTATACAAACGAGACCTTCGTCAGAGTAAGAAAGATGCCATGGGGAGATTTTTACAATCAATCCTTTGGCCTGAAATTTTTGCTCAATCACAAAGCTGTGAAGATATGGCGAATTTTTTTTATGACATTGTAGCTATTGGTCTTGACCTCCTCATGCCAATTAAACGGATTAAGAAAATCTCCGCAGATGTTCCTTGGATGACCGATAAATTGAAAACATTTATAAAAAAAAGACAAGAAGCCTTTTTCAGTTACGGTCCAAAATCCAACTGCTTTAAATATTACCGAAATATTGTCAATCGCGAGAGAAAAGCGTGTAAATCAAAATACTATACGACCCAGGTTCACAGTAAAGAAAAAGATAACCCTAAAACTTGGTGGAGTGAAATCAAACGCCTAGGAGGAATGAAATCAATGAACAGCTCCCTAATAAATTTGATAAATATCGCTGGTTTTGAAGATATATCGGAACAAGAACTAGCAAACAGAATAAATACAGCTTTTCTTGAACCCTTATCAGAATATCAACTATCTTCACCGTTAGAGCGACTTAACTTAGAGGAAAACCCAGATTTCTTAGAAGTTTCTGAAGAAAGGGTTTTATCACAGCTACAAAAACTCAACCCCAGTAAAAGTGGTGGCCCTGACGAAGTGCCCAATTGGCTCTTGCGAGAGTATGCTGTAATCCTTGCCCTCCCAATTAGTCTACTCCTAAATGCATCCTACAAACAACAACGCCTACCTGCAATATGGAAACTTGCGAATGTTTCACCGCTGCCAAAAGTAAAAATAGTACAGGACCTGAAAAAAGAACTTAGGCCCATTTCTTTAACACCTAATATTTCGAAGGTTGCAGAGCATTTCGTTGTTAATGATTATGTGAAACCAGCTGTTTTGAAGAAAATTGACCCCAATCAGTATGGAGCAATCCCTAAATCATCGACGATTTTTGCTCTTCTTAGTATGGTGCATAACTGGACCTCCGGGCTTGACGGTACCGGTTCTACAACTAGAATCATTCTATTCGATTACCAAAAAGCTTTTGATCTAATTGATCACAGAATTTTGTTCAATAAACTACTTCAGTTAGATCTACCACGAAGTGTTATAAATTGGATTATTGATTTCTTAAGTAACAGATTCCAAAGAGTCAAACTTTCACAAGGATGTTTTTCAGATTGGGGTGCAGTACCTTCGGGCGTCCCTCAAGGCACCATTTTAGGTCCATGGCTCTTTTTAATCCTGATAAATGATTTATCTATCACAGATACTGACTTATGGAAATACGTGGACGATACGACAGTATCGGAAACAGTTGACAAAAACCAACAGAGTAGAGCACAGACAATTGCTAATGAGATGTCACAATGGTCCCAAAACAATAAAATGAAGCTGAATGAAGAGAAATGTAAGGAGCTCCGTATTTCCTTCTCAAAAGTCCCTCGTGATTTTAACCCGATACTTATTAACAATAAAAGTATTAGAGTCGTAAAATCCGTTAAACTTCTGGGCTTGTCATTCGATAATAACCTGACGTGGAATCTACATATCGAAGAGGTAGTTAAAAAAGTATCCAAACGAATCTATTACCTGATCCAACTCAAACGGGCCGGTATTCCTCGGAATGATCTGGTTCTATTTTATGTTACATGTATTCGATCTGTTATCGACTATGGTATCCCTGTCATTTACTATTCGTTGCCAAAATACTTGCGTTCCGAATTGGAAAGATTACAAAAAAGAGCTATTAGAATCATCTGTCCAAACACTAATTACGAAGACGCTTTAATTAGTTGTGGATTGGAGTCACTGTCTGTTCATCATGAAAATATTTGTACTAGTTTATTTCAAACAGTAGTTGCTGATGAAAATCATAAGTTACGAAGTTTACTGCCACCTACACATACTTCTTTTTATGATTTAAGAACCGATAGGAAATTTGAAATTCCTAGATGTAACACTAATCGTTTTCAAACTAGTTTTTTTGTGGCTTCGTGCCGCAAATCATTTATCTAATGCTATTGAAATGACCTAATATTTTTAATAATTTTAAATTTTTTAGTATATTAAAGTAATAAACATCTTGTATATATAATATTTATATGGAATGTCATCATAATGGCTTGATAAACTCTTTTTTATATTCTCGTAATTAGTTAAATTTACTTGTAAAAAAATTACGCAATTCAGCCTATGGCTGCGAAGTATTTTATTAAATCTATCTATCTATCTATCTTATCTATCTATCCATGGGAATGAAAATCATAGATTTGCGTCCACCGCCCGCATGCATGATCATGCCTCAAAAGCTACCGCCTAAAATTTTCATTATTTACAAAAAATCATTATTTTCACATATAAACCAAAACTCAATAAAATTGTATATTGATTACAATGAAATGAACAAATTGCATGCAGTACGTTAATTTGTCCTCACTTCTCATAGTATCCACATTCTATGAAATACCGAATTATATTTACCGAGTGCGGTAAATTATATTTACCGATAGTGCGGTATTCTTTATATGGGGCCGTTAAATAGACAAATGTCGTAAAGAAACCAACCTCTGTACAAATATTGAAAATACAGAATAGGTAGTAACTGAAATCAGGCCCACATTACACTAAATACTTCGACAGAGTTCGTTTTGGAGCCAGCGATTGAGGCAAGTCGCAAACTGACCTACTTTATATTCTCAGATTTTGCGATTAACAACGTCGCATTAAATAATTTACTGCCGACTGTTATATATGCAAATTACGAAGGAAGTAGTAGAATAACTTATATCTATGCTTTCTGGCCATGTGACAATTATGTTAGGGAGATGTTGGAGCGGGCTTAAAACTACACAATTTCCAACCAACATTGTCGAACATGGTTGAACGACGTTGGAAATGTTGGAATCGTTTAGACGGTTCTTAAGGCCATGAGAGTCATATAGATTTGCGTCCGGGTACTTTTGAAAAATCATGCGGCTTTTTTTCGTTATTCATTATTTATTATCTTTTTGACCATTGTTTTGTCTGGTAAATACAGAGATAAAAACACGAATTACCGTTCACGCCGTGAAATTACATATATCACGAGCTCAGGCGGTTGCAGCACTGAAGATCTGTGCCAATATAATTTTAGTCGAGTTTTAAAAAAATACCTTGTTTGGCACATTTCTGATACAAATCAGACAAAAAGAGCAAGGATTATGAAAGGATGGTTTAGTTAAACGAAAATGCAGAATAAGAAATGACTTACACCAGTGAATATAATATGTTCTACAATCAGCAATCTGCAAACGACCTACCGTATTCTCTGATTTTGCGAGATACAGCATCGCGTAATTATTATTTACTGCTTACTGCAAAAGCCATATTTCAACGGGTTTGGCAGGTTATGCATCGTCAGCATCAATGATATATGCAAATTTAATAGTAAGGAAGTAGAATATAAATTATGTTCGTGATTTCTGGCTATGAAACAATGTCAATGTTGCATCCAACGATATAGTCATTATAGATCTACTTCCTGCGCAGGCCATAATGAATTCCCTAAAGCCTGGCTTCCATATGGTCGTAATGGTCGTAAAATAAGAGTCCCGATCTTTCTCAAGGGCCAGTTTATAATAGTTTATACCTGTAAACCACATATAAATCATAAGTAGCCTATTCTCTAGTTGTAATCACTCCGCAATGTTGTATTTCGACTGATGAGAAAGATCGTGGCTCAATCTGTACGACTTTTACGACCATATCGAAACCAGGCAATTAGTTTCATAAGGCAGAATAAAAAATACTATAACAGTATACGGGTAAACCGCGTAGGTGTTTGGTGTATAATTTAGGCTGTGTTTTATATATTTGACAATTACACTAAGTATACTAATACTCTTCGTGATACTCTTCATGACGAAGAGTACGTCTACTTTGTTGTTTGATTCTGTTGCTTTACATATGTGCGTGTGTGAAATAAGCGACATTTGTCTGCTTTCTCTGACATTAGACAGATTTAGATCAAGGACGCGGACGTCAAGGACGACGTGAAAATGGCGCCTATGTATGGATATACCACGTCATTTTGACACAACACAGGTATTTTCACGTCCTCTCTGACGTCCGCGATCTAAATCTGTCTATTAATTTTCTAGTGGGGGGTCAACCTTTGAACAGGGGTGAACTAAAACAACATTTTATGTAAATGAGTTGTCCGACTATTACAAAAGCCAATGTGTATATAAAATGATATACACAATATAAAATCTGTCCTTTACCCATGACACAAACCCTTGACCCCCCCCCCCCAAATTAAGTGGTGCGCTGTAATTCGAGTAGAAAATTAAGCCTTGTTGTTGTAATTCCAGGATTACCAAATTGATTTTCTGTGAAACACTCTGTCGTCGTTTATAGTCCTACAGAGCAATAGTAAAGGATGAGAACAGACAACCGCAGACTGGTATGGGAAGATTGGTTGGCAATCGCCATTTATTTTGTTTTTACCATTGGTCTTGGTCTGGCGGTAAGTATTACGGCGTTTTTTACATGGACAACCATTGATCTGTCCGTTTGATTGAGAGATTGAATGACTCACTTGATTTATTTTATTGACTGTCGGATTGATTTATTAATGAACAAATTGATTAATTTTATTGAGGATTGATTCATTTCTTTGACTGGCTAACTTAATTGATTTCATTTATGAATTGATTGATTTGAATGTCAATTGATCGACTTGCTTGACATTGATTTACTTCGTTCATGATTTGATTTGATTTATTTAACTACCTAGGTTAACTGATTTGGGCTGATTGATTTGATTGACTGATTTGATCGAACTAATTAACATACATTAATACGATAGATTTAATTGATGAATTGGCTGACTTGATTGACTGACTAGATCAACTGATTAATTAATTGGTTGAAAGATAGATAATAAATTACTAAATGATTGATGATTAACGAATTGATTTAATGATATATTAATTTAATGGCTAATCAATTGAATGATGTATTATTTATAGACCGACCAATTGATTGCTTAATTAATTAACCAATTAATTTATCGTTTGAATGATTGATTTATCGATTGTCTGACTAATTGCTTGATTAATTGGCAGATTAATTGAGCGATTGAGCTCATTGATTGATGTATTCAGGTAAAATTTCGACGTGGACGAAGACAGGAATCGGCAGAGAGTTTTTTCTTAGCTGGTCGTTCTTTAGTCTGGTGGATGGTAGGGGGAAGCATCTTTGCAAGTAACATTGGTGGAACACATTTTATTGGTATTGCTGGTGATGGTGCCGCTACTGGCATAGCGATCATCTGTTATGAATGGCAGGTATGGCAATATTGTGGTGTTAGTGATGGTATATTTATTACCAGTAGTATTGGTGGTACGCATTTTATTGGTATTCCTGGTCATGGTATACGTACTGTCATGGCAGTCATTTTTGTTATGAATGGCAGGTGTGGTAGTATTGAGGTGTTGGTGATGGTATATTTAGCAGTAATATTGATGGTGCACATTTTATTGCTTATGATGGTACTGGCATTTCAATCATCTGTTATGAATAGCAGATATGGTGGTGATATTGAGGTGTTCGTGGTGGTATATTTACCAGTAAGGCTTATGGTTATGTTAATGGGTGATATGTATATGTGATTGAATATATGGGTGGACTTTACTAAGTGGACGATGCATGCAGCACGTGGTGCCCGATGGGTCAAAGAAAGGAGTAAAGAAAGATATTCATGAGTTTTATAGGAAGACTCAGCCAGAATTCTACCCATACAGAAAGTTTTAGCTCGATTAGTTAGCAATGGTCAAAACTCTTGTCAAAAATCAGAGTAGATAGACCCCTTAATTAAAAACAACTTACAATGGATCTAAACAATGCCCGAATGCTCATCTTGACCGAAAATAACACATTGTACAAAAATTCTTTTCAGGCATCGTGGACCCTCTTAATCCTCGGATACTTTTTTCTTCCAGTTTATTTAAAATCTGGAGTAAGTAAAGACGTATTTATATTGCCTCTTCTTTTCATTTAAAGCCAGGCCATGTTACACGAGGCATTTTTTATGCAAACAGGTTGTAAGGACTTCTAAGGTCAATTGCCCAGATAAAAGCCACGAAATGTGTATATTGATGTTAATAATGTTTGTTTCAGATATACACAATGCCGGAATATATGCAGAAACGTTATCAAAGTCAGTCCATCCGCACTATTTTGACATTTATAACCCTTGTGAGTTATGTCTTCACTAAAATCTCGGTAAGTCAGGCCCTACTAGGAATTTTAGGTAAATTGGTATTCTCCAAGTCTCTCTTCATTGTCATATAGTATCGATCCGCTATAGTGTACATTACGCTGATTGTACGATAGACTTGCTCCAAGTCTCTCTTTCATTGTCATTTAGTATCGATCCACTATAGTGTACATTACATGACGTAGTACGGAGAGGCGGAGCGAGAAAGAGAGACTTGTCAACTTCGGAAAATCTCGGTTCAAAACTGAACCGAAAATGCAAGACTGGTTTACTAGTGTTTTCCTTCAATTTCTTTCTGTAATTTTACTATAATGGAACTCATGTTATCTAGACTGTGCTAGATCAATACATATAAACACTGACAGAAAACAATTAAAGCAAGTCTTGCATTTTCGGTTCAGTTTTGAACCGAGATTTTCCGAAGTTGACAAGTCTCTCTTTCTCGCTCCGCCTCCCCGTGCTACGTCATGTAACGTACACTATAGTGGACCGATACTATATGACAATGAAAGAAAGACTTGGAGCAAGTCTAGCTGTACGAAGGCCGGGGGGCGGCTATTCAAAGCATGATTCGTGCAGACCGTGGGTTAAATTTAACCATAGATAATCTTATATACACCAGATAGTGCATCTAATTATTCTGCAATTCAAAAATTGAAGCCGTGATTGCAGTCTCAGGTCACGGTTCCCATGAAATGAGATTAGTATGTTTTCTATTTCTTAAACAGGGAACTTAAACATCAAGTTAACCCTATTCCAAATACTTTTTAAACTATTCAAATGATGAAAGTTATTGCTGTTTTTAAGCGTTTGATTAGTAAGTGGGAACGACCAACATGGCCGCCATCTATTCAAATGGGGTAACCGCTGGAATATTTTTGGCAGACAGACGAATCATATAAAGCGAACTAATTGAGATAGAAATAAGAAAACACACCGACAAACTTTTATTCACTTTCGTTTTCTTTCTTCAGATTGATATTTACGCTGGCAGTGTCTATTTCCGAGAAGCAACAGGATGGAATATTTATATATCAGCATTTGTTGTGCTGAGTATTACGGCTGTGTATGTGATTGTTGGTAAGGGCTCGTCTTTAATTATCTGCATTTTCACAAAAGCGTGCTTTTTTAAACCCCCTCCCAACTATATTCAACTATTGCATGCAACTATTAGTACCCCAAGCCTCTTCTCCCGGCCCCCTTGCTGTGCAATATTACAGGTCAAATAAGACGTCTACATTCTACTCATGTTTAGGTGGTCTTGAAGCAGTTGCATTTACAGATATTTTACAAGTCAGCATTATGCTTATTGGCGCTGTAATACTCACGATATTAGGTAAGTGTATTCACATTTCTTTGTGATGTGTCCTTTGTTTAATACTTATCCTATAGTTAGAAATAACCGTGAGACAGTCTAGAGCTTGTGCTCAACAATATTATATTAGAAACCTAAATAATCTGTCACTGACTCACTGTATAAGTGCAGAGTTGAACGTTTTAAAAACAGTTTCTTTCCAAGGGCAATTGCTGAACTGAACGCCATGAAAAAGAGGAAGGAAACTACTTTAGATTAAATGGTTGAACAATTTATATTTTAACTATTATTGTTATTCTTAATCTATTTTACCTTAACTTTTATAACCATGTTAATATAGTCGGCCGGCCAAGATGGTAAAAAGTGCCTCTAAAGAGAGTTTGTTGGCAACTTTATGTTAGAAGCTGGTAACAGGCATTTTCTTATAGTTCAAGCCTTGGTGAATAAGACTGTGTGTGTTACCACTTCTGATTTTTGCTTTATAGCCAAAAATTTGAGAATTTTTAAATTTTGCCTATTAAATTACTATGATCGGAAAAAATGTAAAATTTCGTGTTCTCTTATACGAAAAATAAACTATACCACTAGAAAGAGCGTAAAAAACTATATATAAGACAACTTAAGCGACTAGTGCGATTTTCAAGCCGATTTTGAATTAAAGATGGTTAAAGTTGGCAAAATGGGTACTAATTAGCATTAATTTGGTCATTTCTGCATTTTTTAACATTAAAAACTCGAAATAGGATTGGAAAAACGTAGAACTCACTTAATTGTCTTATATACAGTTTTTTACGCTCTTTCAAGTGGTATAGTTTATTTTTCGTATAGGAGAACATGAAATTTTACATTTTTTCCGATCATAGTAATTTAATAGGCAAAATTTAAAAATTCTCAAATTTTTGGCTATAAAGCAAAAATCAGAAGTGGTAACACACACAGTCTTGTTCACCAAGGCTTAAACAACAAGAAAATGCCTGTTACCAGCTTCTAACATAAAGTTGCCATCAAGTTGTACAAATTGATGACTTGGCCGGCCGTCTAATAACTTTAGCTAGATTTGACTTTGAATGTAAACATATTGTAATTCATTTTTTATGCGAAAATGTGTCATTAAACACAAAATAATAATAAAAAACTCCGACTAACAATCTAACAGACTAGCAATTTGTCAGTTAACAAAGGGAATAAACATATGAGCACAATTATACACATAAGTTGCAGCTTCTTAACTAACATTTCTCTAACATTTTAAACAAAATTATTACAGGTTTCAGAGAGATTGGCGGTATAGAAAAGTTGTGGGAGGAATACCCAAAATCATTTGGTCGTAATTGGCGAGCGATAGAGAATGTCACCGTCAATGGCACGATATCGGGGAGTCATGGTAATTCATCAAGTTGTAATTACGGTCTCACTCCATATTGGGCAAATATGTTCCGTCCTTTTGATGATCCGGACTTCCCATGGTTTGGCCTCTGGTTCGCTTTGCCCATTGTCGAGATTTGGTACTGGTGTACTGATCAGGTATCAACCTGCATTAATTCTAGTTTACACTGATGATTTATTTTGAAATCGGCTATAATCTTTCTTGAGAATTAAGCTGCTGATTGATCCCTATCAAAGTCGAGCGAAGTCCCTTCGTAACGTTGGCGAAACGTCGAAGTTCTCCGTGTATTTTTCAGGTAGTTGCATCTCTATCAATCCGAAGGCGAAGCTTTCTCGTGTTAACATATTGTTTGATTTAGCTATGATTATCTTTGTTTCATATGGTTTATTTGATTTATGCGACTCCCTCCGTAGTTTTCTTATATAAAAGGCAGCTGCATCACAGAGTATGGACCATGCATAAAGAGGGGGGCAAAGAGGGTCTCGTCACGAAATCACGAAGATTATTTTTCGATTTCACGAGTCACGAAAAACAAAATTTCATTTTCACGATTTTTCAGTAAAAACACAGAAGCGTAACAAAGCGGTCTGATTTTCTAGACAGCATAACTCGATGTTAATAACTGACAAACACAATTTACTGACTTTAACATTAGAGCTTTTAAAAGGCTATGGAAATCATTGCAAGCCATTACGAAACATTACGAACGTCTTACGATGGTTCACGAAGTCTATGAAGAGGTACGAAGGTATACGATAACAACGTTTACAATGAAACGAAGAAACTGTCACGAAGCACTACTGGACTAAGATAATACCAAAACTCTTTAATTATTTCTTTAATTACAATACTCAACAACGATTAATCTCCACAAAATACATCTCACGATTTCACCTTAACTCTACAATATATCACTTCCATGCGGTTCTCCCTCCTCTAAAAACACATACACTAAAAGGCACTAAAACACATACACTAAAAGGCGCTTCTCTACACTCCCCCCACCTAAAATCAACTTGATTACTGACCTTATCAGTTCACTGGTTAACTCAACACGAAAGTAAGTATAAAATAGTTCAAATCGACAAAGTTCATGCAACACTTCCATTACTATAATAGTGTTTAACTTATCTGTTCACAGTGTTCAGTAATCCAACACAGGTACTCCATAACGACCGGGTTGTCTTCGATTCTGTCTTAAGTTATAACGTAAATTTAATGGTTCTGCTTGATCATCGATTCCACGTGGTGCTAAACGTACTCCAGCACGTAATAAGTTCAATCGTAGACTCATCCGAATCAGAACTTAGCATGTTTTCCAATTCCTCACTCAATGGATTAGCAACTGTTTCTACGACAAACCGTCTTAGATTATTCATATGTACAACTTTACGTTTTCTGCTTTCCAATGACTCTATCTCGCAATCGTTCTCTCGAATGTTAACAATGATGTAAGGACCCGTATACTTTTCATCTAACTGACCTCGCGCTCGAAAATTCTTTAATAGAACAGTGTCCCCCATGTAAAACCGCTTGTTTTGTTGTGCTCGATACCGTAAATCATAACTACGTTTCTGCTTCTCTTGCGCTTTCTCGATCCTTTTAGTAACCAATTTCCGGAGAATATCTTGTCTCTTCTTTAACTCTTCAACGTATTTGGCTGGACCATGTGTTGGGCTAGATACCAGTTTTTCTTGATCCGTTTCAAATGGCAATCTCACTTCTCTACCATATAACATTTCGAATGGTGTCACACCCGTAGAGGATTGCGTACTAACCCGATAAGCCAGTAACGCATGTGGCAGCTGCTCGTCCCAATCATTTTTCTCTTTGTTTACTCTCATTCTCAACAAGGATTTCAAAATACCTTTAAACCGCTCGCACAACCCGTCTGTTTGGGGATGGTAGGCTGTAGTCCGTCTCTTTTCAATTCCAAACATTTCACATAGACTTGCAATCACTTAAGACTCAAAATTACTGCCTTGATCTGTTAGTAGGACTGAGGGCATTCCATGTCTAGCAAAGATGTCTTCCAGGGCTCTCGCAACTGTAACTGCTTCTTGATTTGGCAATGCTACTGCCTCTGCGTACTTTGTGTAGTAATCAGCGACTGACAAAATGTATTTGTTTCCTCTACTAGTTGTTTTTAATGGACCAATAATGTCTACACCAATCATATAAAATGGTATGGGTACCACTTCGATTGGATTCATCGGACTCCGCGGCCTAGGTACTGCTTTATTTTTGGAACAAACTTCACAATTTCTACAAAATTCTTCAACAGCTTTAAAGAATCCAGGCCAATAAATCTTCCGTTGAATCATCTCAAACGTTTTTGCAACACCTAAATGTCCAAGTTGACAGTGGGCTTCTTCCAGTATGTTAGGAGTGAGATAGGTAGGTACACAATTTGCTCTCGTTCCTTTGCTGTCTTATCAGTCCACTTTCGACATAAGACATGATTTTTGACGACCAATGAATCAAAATTCTTGTATAATGTATCTAGAGTTACACTCACATCAACCGGTTTTTGATCTGGTCTAGAAACACTCTAGAAACCAACTGAATATCCTCGTCGAACGTTTGCATGTCTTCAAACTCTTGCCAGGTTGACATCGAAACCAAGATAGTGTTCACAGGTGCACGAGACAAGGCATCCGCATGCTGCATTTTCGTGTTAGGTAGGTGTTCTATCGTATAGTCATATTCTTCCAATTTTAATATCCAACGAGCTAATTTACCATTTGGATGTTTGATGTCTCGAAGCCATTTCAAAGCATTATGATCAGTATATATGGTGACCTTTCTCCCATATACATATGGGTGAAAGTATTGTAAAGCCCAGACCACTGCAAATGCTTCCTTTTCTGTTGTTGTCCAGTTCTTTTCAGCACCCGAAAATGCCGAAAATGCAAAAGAAACCACTTTTTCTTCCTCATCATAGTTTTCATCCTTTTGGGTCAGCACTGCACCTATGCCCACATCACTCGCATCCGTATACAATATATAGTCTCCATTTAAGTCAGGAAATGCCAAAACAGGGTTAGATATAAGTTGTTCTTTCAGTTGTTCGAACGCTCGTTGACAGTTCTTGTCCCAATCAAAGCGGACACCTTTTTGCGTCAGACGATGAAGAGGACCTGCAATGTCACTGAAACCAGAAATAAAACGCCTGTAGTAAGAGGCCATACCCAGGAAACGTCGCCACTCAGTGAGATTCTGTGGGGTAGGAAAAGCACGGATTGCTTCAACTTTGGTCACATTTGGGGCCAGACCAATAGCAGAAACGGTAAAACCCAAGAAATCCACACTTGGCTTCCCAACTACACTTGGACAACTTAAGTCTCAATCCAGCTCTGTCTATAGCCTGCAAGACATCGTCCAAAGTAAACCAGACACTTGAGTGGCAAAAGACCATTCAACACAGCAAGCATAAGTCGCTGGAACGTGGGCACAGCATTCGTTAGGCCAAAGGACATACGCAGGAATTCAAAGTGACCACCCCCTGGAATCACGAAAGCTGTCCTGACTAGATTCGTCAACTGGAACCTGCCAATATCCCGAGGCTAGGTCGAGTGTCGAAAAATACTGATGACCAGCTAAGTTATCCATCAAATCAGCAACCTGGGGAAGTGGGAAAGCATCTTTCACTGTGACATCATTTAGTTTCCTGAAATCGATACAAAAACGCCATGTCCCATCTTTCTTTCGAACTAAGACTATAGGACTTGACCATGGTGAATTACTCGGCTTAATTATGTTGTTTTCTAACATTTCTTCTACTTGGTCTTCAACAACGGTTTTCAGAGAATTGGGCAGTCTTCGAGGCAGCTGTTTAACAGGTACGGCATCGCCTGTCTCAATCTTATGCTCTGCTAGTGTGGTTACGCCAAGTTCACTAGAAGTTTTCGCGAAAACATCTTGGTGTTTATTCACTACAAATTTTCCATCATATCCTCTCTCGCTCCTCACCCGACAGATGCTCTAACTCAAATTTGATCTTATGCTCAGCAGATGGTGTACCACACTTTGAATTAATAACTGTTGGGTCTCTTAACTCATCATCAACTTGCTGAAGTTGCCCTACAGTCATGCCCTTGTACAACTTAATAGGTGATGTCCCTGGATTAATAATCTGGATGGGTACCCTCTGTTCTTTTGGCTGTACAATAACTCTTGCTACAAGAACACCTTTCCCGGATAAGTTCATATTAGGCTCTAAGATGCTTTCATAGTTAAAGTGGGATGTCCAAACCGGAACAACCAAATCCTCATCTAGAACAACGCCCAGGGGATCTGCTATGGTTGAATCAAATAAACACAAGGGTTTTGTGGTACCATCTGGGAATTTCGAAACCATTTCAGTCATATCGACATTTACTTTGTTAGTTACTAACCAATCTAAACCCAGAAAAATTTCAGACACCATCATTAGCCACATAAAAGTTATGAGATGACTTGTTGTTTTCATCAAATTGCA